TTGAAAGAAATCTTACAGATATGAAACAAGTGACATATCTGTCACCTTTGCACCGCCGGTGGTTTGGTCATGGCGGTCACACAGGCTTCATGTGGAGATTTGTCTTGTTTTTGTCTGACAGCGACACAATGCTATCACCTAAACAGAATGCTATCTTCACATTCCTTTCATACAAACCCTGACAATGTTGGCTCAGATGTATTTAGATGGAACATTTTAAAATGCACAGCATGACACGTAGCACAAAAACAGTCAGTATGTGACCTTGTAATAGGACATTAGAAGGCCACAAAACACACATTAAGTCCTCATATGCATAAATATTCACACACACACACACAGATATATGTGCAGGTCAATATGTATCAGATCTGATTCTAACTTCATAATTTAACATGGAAAAGAAAGAAAATTATTTCAAACACTGCACTTCATAATTCCAGTTCAACTTGGTTCAATAAAGAAGTTGACAGTCGTTGCACACAACAACAAATAAATCAATCAAACTTACAAATTTGATCAATGTAGCTACAAACCAAAATATCTTTGGTACCAGACTTCATTGCTGCATCAGCATGGAATACAACTAACAACCAACAATTATCAAATCTAGGATTAGGGGAGTTGCCATTAAATGATAAAGGTATTGCCTTTGATTCAGCTTATTTAGTTTGGTTTTACATTCAGTAATTAAATACGTGGATTGAACTGACCTGAGCAACTGATAATCGAGTTAATAGCTAATGCTAACTGGCGGAGCGTAGCCAGAAATAACGCTCTACTTTTGGTTTAAATATGACATCGACTCACCGTCGAGTAGTGAATTGTTTGAGGAGGTTGATGCAACGTTAACCGTTCGAAAGTAGCAGCAGGAAACTATACCAGCTATTGTTGCAGGTACAACATTGAATCAGATCGTAGTCAGTAACATAACTCACCACCAATCGTCAAGTTTCACATATTAGTCGATTCAGATTTGGAGACGTCAGATTGTTCTACATGCCAACAACCACAGTGAGCAGCAGCATGTGGGAAAACCCAGAAACAGGAAGGTGGTTTGGTCGTGGCGGTCACACCGGTTTCATGTGGAGATTTGTCATTTCCAAATGGAGCCATAAAGTTTGTGTAGCTGATCTATTTTAGGGCTTGTTTTAGTACAACACTTAATAATGACTGACAAGAAACAATGAATGTCAAGAACCACCTTGGACAGGTTGTCAGACTCCAGTCCTCAAGGGCCGGTGTCCTGCAACTTTTAGATGAGCCTCTGCTGCACCACCTGAATAGAATAATTTGGTCATTAAGCCTCTGGAGATCTGATCTACACCAGGAATTACACTGGTAATCCCAGTGTTTTGTACCTGTGGCTCATCTAAAAACTGCAGGACACCTGGAGGACTGAAGTTTGACACCTGTGAACTTGTACATACTAATAGACATGTTTATAATATAGGCCTGAAGTCTTTCTTCCAAAGACTTCAGGAAAGTTGTTAGATTGCACAGAACATGCCTTTTACACTATGAAGAACTGGATAAAAATTGATGCCATTGCCCAAAAAAATGCAAGTAGTCACTAGCAAAATGAACCATGAGGTTAAGCAGATGTATGAAAAACCAGGGAATCAAATCTGACTCGCAAATATGTTGCTGATCAGGAAATGTTATCTTGTACTAAACAATAGTATCTCTTATGTATGTATTTTTCCACGCCAGCAGACGTCTTTGAAACACCCTGCCTGTTGGAACACCCTCATGGCGGCTGTTGGGAGTGTCCAGATAAGGTTTTCAGAAATGCATTTCATTTTACAAAATGAATCTTAAAAACTGTTTAAGTTGTATGAGCAGACTGAGTGAGTGTGGAAAATACAAAGGGAACGTTTCCATTGGTTAACTGACTAAAAAATGACTTAAACTCTGTATGTCAGCTGTTCAGACATCATTATCTTTCTATTAATATAATATATATTCTATTCATGAACACATTGGCATAAAAGCTTTTCATGGAGATTAAAATAGGCATGAAGTGGGGAACAATCAAAGTTTTAACTGCAGAACATTGTTGTGTTTTGATCCTGTGCAGGAGTGTGACGTTTGTGAAGTTAAATACGGCTCTCGCTTTATGCCGCATTGCATATGTATTTAATAAGTAAAAGTGCTGACCCTTGTAGGCGTTTACCTCTCAATCAGTGGGTTGCTGGTTTGATTCCTGCTGCCTGCCTCTATCAATTCAATTCTAATTACAACTGTTTTTGCTAGTTCAATAGCATAATGAAGTAGTCATGTCACCTTCAGCTGTAAAAATGCCATATGTATCAAATGAGATTTAAAAGAAAATTGACTTTATGTGAATGGCATAGCTCTGTCCACGCAGGCATTTTGCACAGCTGAGATTGATTTATGGAGATTAATTTCTCAAACTTACATGAAAAGATCAAGACAACACTCTGAGTGTGTTTTTCATGAGAATAACATTGAAACATGATGTGCTGATCAATTTTACATAATACTGCCCCTTTAAAATGAAGGCAAATTAATGAGATTTTATCTCGATTTTGTTTTGTTCTTAAAACACAAGTGACAAGAACAAAGCTTTTTCAGGCATTTATTAATCAGATGTGTTCATATTTCACAGAATTGACATCAAATGATTACAAATAGAAGAAAATATAGTAAAATATGAACATAATGTCAAACAATGATCTAATAATTTCTTACAATTCCAATGCATCTCTAAGGATAATAGTTTATTAGGAAATTGAAGTATAAAATGTAAGTAAAATCACTATGCATTATTAGTAATAAAGCAGTTGAAAATCAAGGAGAGTGAAACAGTTCATGTAGTCAAAACCATAATCATGATGCTGCTGCTGAGGCAATACAATCATATTATGAACATTTAAATCATATGTAATATAATCACCAAACTCAGCCAGAAAAATACCAACTGTGCTCCTCCAGCTGCCATTTGAAATGTCATCTAAACTATGATAAATTATAATGAAGTATGAAAAGCAGCTCAGTCATTAATCACAATGCTGAAGCTGACGGTTGTAATGAACATGCTAAGGAAGCTACAGTGCCAGTGCACGGACAAGAGGGATATTTTTAGTATTGGGATTTTCATAAAGGATTTTTATTTTGTCATTGTGTGAAAATAAAAACAATCAAAAACAAAAATGATGTTTTTTTTTTGATCCAGTTACCTTTATCTTGTGATCGTAAATCTTTGGTTTATGAACAGGAGAATATTGAGTTCAATGAAAGGAAATTGGAAAGTATCAATCTGAGACCCGACCTTGCTGCGCTTTGGCTGGTTCCTCACGTCAACAGTGGTTTGTTTCTTCTGATAGCATTAGCATTTTTTATTTTCTAGTAGTGCTGGACTGATTTTAACATTAGGAATGTGTAGAACTGTTTGACATGTGCTGTTTTAAAGTATTTAACAGCTTACATAAGAAAACCTTATCCAGAACATTTATCCAAGCAACAAGTGCATTAATTTAAAGATGCACTGAAAAGATCCCTTTCAGCTGATTCCAGATTTGCTACTTGAAAGTCTGTTGAATTTTTTGGGTAGCTGCTTTCATTTTATCCCATACAGACAGGATGATTGCTGGTTCCTTCATCCATTTTGTTTTTATCTCCTCCAGTTTTCTGAATTTTTTTTGCTTCTCCTCTTTCATTCAGCTTTTCGATCAAAAGTCATATGGGACAAATGTGGACACTGAATTAACGTTCAAAGCAATCTTCCCCAAATTGTCAATATGTTGGAGAGCTTCTTCCAGCAGCTGTGACTTTTCTGCCTTCAGCTTTTCCAAGTCTTCCTCAAGATTACCCAAAAAATTCCAACAATTTTTCTCGTTTCGATTTTCTTTTAATCTCATTCAGGCTTCTCCGAACCCTTTTCGTCTTGTTAACATATCTCCACTTCCCTTTCACATGAGCAGATGCAGGACACTTTAAAGTGCACACAGTGCACCGGCCATCTTTCATCACCTCACAGTCCTCAGGCTTTCTAGAGCTTGAACATCCAGGATAGTGACAGTTCTCCTCACAGATTGTACAGCATACGGCCCCTTTTACTAAAATCATCAGCCAAATGTCTCCTTCAATGGCTTCTTTGCCTTTGTAGGCTTCATCAAATTCTACAGTGACCGTCTCATTAGTTTTGCTATTTTTCTGTATCTCCATAGCTTCTTTAATCTGTTTAATTTCTGCCTCTTTCAGCTCAGACAGTCGGATCCTTTCCTGCAGGTTTTGGATGCAGGCGGACAGTCTGATCGTTCATTGAGAAACATCTAAAGTCATGTCTAGTTTTCGGGGTGCAGTTTTCTCCAGAAAGGCAGCAAAGCCACTCAGACCTTTCACTGCTATCTTGTCAGCATTTTTATAATGCTTTTCTTCTATCTGCTCTTCATGTCGGCAGTTATTGAAGAGGAAGTGAACAGGTTGTTCCTCATCTTTGGCACATTTAATCTTGGCAGCATTGAGAGCTTGAAGCAAGACCCTTGGTTTTCTTCCATTGGAGTGAGTGACCAAAGCTACAATGTTTTTCTCTATGTCTTTCCCAAACAGAGACATCACTGACTCAAAGATGTACTTAAGTCGGTCACTCAGTCGATTCACGCTCGACTTTACTACCAGACCCACTGCATGAAGTTCTTTTATGCCATTTTTTGATTGAAACAATTGAAATAATCTTTCACTGACAACAACATCATATTCAATCCCTCTGGTGTCTCCAAATCCAGGAGTATCAATGATGGTCAGAGAGAAGGGCAGAGTTTTACCTTCAAAACCAAAGAGTTCGTACACAATCACATCTGATGTCTGGCTTTCTGTCTGACTCCTTTTCTCATCTTCTACGATCTGGTACCAGGCTTTATCTTCCAATGTCACTCCCATGGCGTAGTTGACCAGAGCGTTGATCAGAGTCGATTTCCCTGCCCCTGTTTCACCAACAAGCAGGATGGTTTTTATTTGGTTGTTGTGGTTTTTGTGCCTACAGTCAGTCTGGTCAAGGTTCCAATGACTTTTTTCTTTGTTTTGAGCTGGTAGACTTTAGTGGATCCAGAACGAATCGGCTCATTGTTGGCCAAGATTTCTTGTGGATCGTTGTTGCTGCAGAGAAAGCACATTTATTTTAAATGTATAAAGATAAGTTGGTTCTATTCAAAATATACATTGTACAAAACATTGTCTCAGGTTTTCAGTATGTAAGTGTTAAAAATTCAGAATATAAGGCAATAAATAATTTACAGGACTGTATAGGACTTATTGTTAAATGAAGAGATAATAATTGATCTTACTTGCAGTTGAGCAAGGCTTTGACCCTTCCATCCATCTGCTGGTCCATCTGCTGCAGTTTCTGTTGCTTCTCTGAGTCTCCTTGTTCTTCCATCTTCTCAATCAGGAAGTCCAAACTTATGTAGGTGGAAAGGGAGCAAACTTTAAGAACTGTCTGATCCAAGTTTGCAACTTTTTTGAAGGAGTTTTCTATCAGTTGTGTCTTCTCTGACTTTAGACTTTCAATCTCCTTTTCCAGAATCTCAAGAAGCTTTATCTTATGGTTTGATGCTTTCTTATACATCTTTTTATATTCCTCTTTGGTTCTCTGCACTTTTTTTGTCTTGGCCACGTACCTCCAGTCGGCTTTAATATGTGTTGAAACGGGACATTTACCAGTGCAAACAGTGCAGCGACTGTTGTTCATGACCTCACACTCTTCATGGTTCAGGGCCATCGTACATCCTGGATAGTGGCAGTTCTCCTTACAGACGGTGCAGCAGACAGCCGATTTTAAGAAGGACATCTCACCACCAATAGGTTCTTGTTCTATGCAGACTTCATCTACTTCGATGACGTTCTCAATTTTCTTCTCTTCTTTTTGTTTCTTCAGAGCGTCTTGAAGCTGCCTAATTTCTTTCTGCTTCAGTTCATTTAGCCTGATTTTCTCCTCTAGATTTTGGATAGTGGCTGCAAGTCTTATTTGTGAGTTAAACCCAAACATCACCTGTAGCTGCTGAGGTGAAGCCTTTTTAAGAAAAGACATGAACTGACTCATCCCTGCCTCTGTCACTCTCCATGCTTTTTCCAGATCTAAGCTAGTTTCCTCTGTTCGAGCCTCATTCTGACAGTTATTGAATGTAAAGTGAACAGGCTGGCTGTTCGCGTCTGTTACACATGGAGTCCCTGCACCTTTAAGGGCTTGAAGAGCAGCCGTAGGTATCGTCCCATCTGAGTGTGTGATCAGAGCCACAGTGATGTTTTCAAGGCCTTTCCCAAAAAGAGGGATCATTGACTCCAGTATGTATCTCAGAGAATCACTGAACTGATGCTCAGTAGCCTTCATCACCGTTGCCACTGCATGGATCTCATGAACTCCATCTTCTGATCGAAATAAGTCAAACAGTCTCTGACTTACAGTCACATCACAGTTCATCCCTCTGTGGCTCCCACATCCAGGAGTATCAATGATGGTCAGAGAGTAGGGCAGAGGTTTATCTTTAAAATCAAAGACGTCATACACAGTCACATCTGATGTTTGGTCATTCTCCTCTTCCTCCACAACCTGAAACCAGACTTCATCCTCAAACCTCACTCCCATGGCGTAATTAACCAGAGCATTGATCAGAGCAGATTTTCCTGTCCCCTTTTCTCCAACAAGCAAGATGGTTTTATTTATCTTCCTCACATCTTTTTCACCTATAGTGACTCTGGTCAGCGTCCCAAATGTCTGTTTCTTAGTTTTCAGTCGGCGGATTGTCGGGCATCCGACACTGATCAGGCCACTGTGGAAAGCAAGCAGTTTAACCAATCATTATTTGATCATTACATGTTTGTCGATGACTATCCAAGGAATCCTGTGTCCAGCAGGAGTTTGTTCCCTGAATGTATCTGTTTTGACTTGTAACCCTCTGTTGTTGATGACGTAGTTTTCCTCTGAGAGAAAACTTTATTTTCCAAGAAACCCATCAGATAGTGACTCATGGATGACAGACGCAATGCGAATTTAAATATAAGTTAAGTGCACAGTTAATTATTACAAAGCAGCTGAAAAAAATCAAGAGGAATAAGATTTCATTCTATGAAAAACGTCAGCTGCTATGGGGTGTCATTTTCAAAGTTACAGTCAAAAATTAATAACAGTTAGGGTTATTTAACCAGTCATTCTTTCACCATGTTATTTATAAAGGTTACAGAGTAAGTATTTATTTGCTAAGCTAAATATTTACTTTGTAAGCTAAACATGAAGGTATAAAAAATCTGCAGTAATCCGTTTTTTTTCTGCATTACATAGGAGAAGATTTTTAATTTACTCACATGTCCATGTTGTTATGTTTTCCTAATTTCAGTGAAGATCTGTCAGAAGATGAGGACATAGCACCTGGATATTATTTCTGGAAAACATTCACATTACAATGATCAAAACTAAGCAGTAGAAGTAGATCAAAAAGCTGAATCACAATTTTCTTTTAGGATGTGGCCATAAGATTGCAGTTCGGGGAACTTTTTCAAACAAATCTTTTGAAATGTGATTTATAAAATATCTTTGTAATTAACCTGCAATTGACATTGTGGCAGCACAATTTTAAATGTAGAATCTGAACATATTTACAAATGTATAAAGGGTGAAACGAATGACAGCAAGTCTGGCATCAAACAGACTGCAGTACATTATGATTGTAGAGTGGAGGCCAGCAGAGGAAAGTGACTGAACTAATAATCCCTGCACTGCCAGGGACATTGAGGAGTTCCTGAACCAGAAGAGCAATCAGAGAGAGATATGGAAAATAAAAACGAATGCAGTGGAGCAGAAACCCACCAGCAGAGTATGGAGGATGATGAGGGACTTTACTTGCTATGGATGGAAGAACAGTAAGTATGGATTATGATGCCATGAGTTCAAGATATTCAGTTATGTTCTCATGCTTTATATATCTGGTTTTTTCTATTAGTTTCATCAGTTATTCTTTCCTTACAAATTGCTGAAAATCTGTGATAAGTTCTCTGTTTATTTCAGGTTTATACTAAGTCTGACCAACAATGTTTATGGAGTCACCAAGCTCCTGTACTTCAGCCTTCAATAATATCCTGTGTTTCTGTCTTTGCTCTGGTTTCCTGTTTATCATGGCGACATCAAATCCATTGTTTAAATTCTGACTTGCTGACCCTGTATAGTCCAGCGTTTTCTAATAAATAAAATATTTAATTTTAATTATCTTTGCAAAGTACTGACTTTTGTATTGGTCTGCTAAATCCTTTAGGTCACCATCACCTGATTCAGTCACAAAAACAGAGCAGAAGTGATCAAACATGGATAAATATTTCTTACCCAGATTGTGAGTCCTGGAGGAGATGCAGGAACTCTTCAACGCTGAAAGAAATACGAAACATCGGCATCAGGAAGGAATCTGGATCTGGAGGTTCTCCCAGTTTAGATCTGTGGATGTTTGTGATGCAGAGCTGCAACTGGAATAAAAGCGATTCCTTTACAAACTCATCCTCAACAGATGAGCGAGTGCTTCATCTGTGCTGCAGAGTGAAGAAGTGTCTTTTTATATGAACCACTTTCTACATTTGTCAAGTTTTTATTTTGAACAAAAAAGTTTTGGCTTAATATGAATCAAAATGATCTCTTGACTTCCAAAGATGTAATTTATTCGACAGTCAACATGTCAGGCTGTTGCTGTTTATAAAGCTCTGTTCCCTCATTTTAACATGAAATTACATAAATACGGACGGATTGTCAGAGCATAAGTCAGGTATTGTTGAGCAAACTATATCAGAGAAATATGATTTACTCAATAGCTGGAATATTTCAGTGTGTGTGTAGCGTCATAATCAGACAGATCTGTGACCTGATTGCTAGAAATCTAGATCACAATCATACAAAAGGCTGCAGTACGAGTAGCAGCTGGACTGGTGAACAAGCAGAAAGCCGCAGATATGAAATATGAGACGTGGCACGTGCTTTTTATTAGGCTGAATATACAGGTGAGCTCAAAGCCTAAATAAAAATCTAAAATATAATAGAAAAAGATATAAACATTACCAAAAACAAGGAAACACCCAGTTTCTTTTTTGTCACAGAAACCTTTTTAAATAACTGAAGTAATTGTTTAGCATTCAATTAATTTAATTAAATATGTCAAACGTGGTGGTCACAGCAGATTACTATTGATCCAGTAATGATCTTACCTGTTGTGGCTCAGGAATCTGTTCTGATGGCCGTCAGTGGAGGAACGAGCCGAGTTCAGACTTTTTAAGCTCTGTGGGAGGAGACAGGCAGGTCACAGATGTTTAAAGATAGTCTTGCTAAAAACAAAGCACAGCTTTTGAACTGAGGGTAAACATTTTATGTTATAAAATGATTTCTGTCAAACTGTAAGAACAAAAAGCACATTAAAGATTTTACCATGTTTATTTAGTAAAACAGTCAAAATGAAAAAAATATCCCCCCAAAGAACTGGATTTATGCAAAATGTCTTAATCTAAAGCAGATGTGCTTTCTTATGTAACCCTAACCACAGGTTTAGATTCAAATGGGAAAATAAGTAATAAACTACCACCATAATATAGTACCGTTACCAATATGTTTCTGAGTGTTTACTAGTACAGTTATATAGGGCGGCGTTAACGAGGAAATATATTTGGTCATCAAGTTGTTTGGTGTCAGATCATCTGGTACCTGAATTATATGAAATATGTTCCTCATGCTATTTATGGTTACCCTGGTGCACACTTGTCAGCACTGCTTCCTGTCCTCTGAAAGGTCTTGGGTTTAAATCCCTGCAGGCTGGACTGATTGAACTATTCATGAACTCATAGGAAGGGAAACTGAGAATCAAGTAGAATATATGTTACAGGACTCTCAGCTCACCTTGTTAACTGTTTTCCCCATGTATTCAATGCCATTTCTATATTTGCTCAAATGTTACCACTTTATCTCTGAGTAATTATATGAAGCATTAGTTTAAACTGATGCTTAATATCAGAAACGTGAGATTCCCCCGAGTGGCTGGAGAGAGGAACGTCTCCTTTCTTAGACTGCTTCCCTTGCAACCCGACTCTGGATAAACAAAGAAAGAGAAAATGGAAAATGAGTTTCAACTAAGGTCTACAAATTAAGCTAAATTCTGCTATTACCACAATACTTTTAACTTGCATATAATCTTTGGCCTCCAGTGGTCACAGGCACTATAGGACTTCTTAAATATTGGTATAAAGTATGTATACATATAAGTCTTATATATGTACAACTTCTTTTGTTTTAGTCATGATCAGCAAAATTTGGCCTTTTGACATCAAAACTGAAGACAGATTTCTACAAACTAGTGAAAATAGTGACTTGAATAATTATAACTAACATAAAATCAGAAAGATCTGTGATATCAAGACTGATTAATAAAGGAGCTAATACCTTTCCTGGCAATCTTTATTAGATCATACTTGTATTTTGATATACAACCGTCACTTTGATGAATATGAAGTAACCCAAGCAATTTCACTAAGGAAAAATTAAAAATCAAATGATTGAGGTACATTGTACTGGCATTTCATCAAATAATCACCCGGCACCTTTCCAAATTCAGTTAGTGTGCTATTGCCAAACTAAAGGATAGTACTGGAGTTTTTAAAAGGTTAGTATATCTGCGATTGCATATATGCTAACCTTGTTGCTAACCTTGTTCTGTATTCTAGCTCTAATGCTACATCAGAGCTCAGCTGCTGTCCTGTGGTCTGTCATGTCTGAACGCTTCAGTGTAGAAATTCACTGCATTCATGCTGAGAAAAATAACAGGTTTGGTCTCAGTTTTATCCAGGTGTCTGCAGGCACCATGTGTTCTCATTGCATCAATCCCTCAATCACAAGTTGACACTTTCACAGGTCAGCTGATACAGAGCTGCCTCCCTTATTGAGTCAGACAAGACAGTGGTAGGTTGAGTTTAGCCCCCTTTTCACAGATTAGCTTGAAATGAAAAATGTTTCATTTTCTGCCAGAACCTACCAGGTATTTATCCATAATGTCTCGGTAGTCAGCTTAACAAGTTTCTTGAATCCTTTGGAAGGAAAACCAGCCCACAGCGTCACCATATATATCAGTGTAGATGAGGTGGTTCTCAACATCTTTTGCTTTTTGCCTCTTGCTGTGTTACAGAAAAGCTCATCTCTAGCTACAGCTACACAAACCTATTTTGATTCTTAGTAGTAGTTTCATAAACTATTTGATCATGGACAGATTTTCACTAACAGATAAGGACAAGTTATTACCTCTGGAAGATTGCTATGAATAAATACAACAGTGACTCTGACATACTATGGATTACCTTAATCCCGGAATGGAGGCGATAACTTTCTATGAACAACTGCAGAGTTAAATTCTCCAGTTCAACACAAACTAACATAAACCTGAAAAACCAAATGGGAAGTAAGGAAGGAGGCTGAGAACTGGCGATTTTAAAAAGAGAAAAACAATTAAAATAAAAGGCCATTGCATTGTGCACATCAGTGACTGGAGTTCTTTTAGGAGGACAAAAAGAAATTATGGCTGAGGTTAACTATTGCCTTCTTTACAATAAAAATACATGCAATAAAGCAATTTTCTGACATATTTAATCATACATAATTAATGCTTCAAATGTTGGCAAATATACACGTTGCATATGCTGTGCATTTTAAAATGACTCATCAAAACAAACACCAAATCGAGGTTTGTGTGAGATGAACATAAAGATTGTATTGATTCTGTCAAAGGGATTACATGGCAGTCAAAGATGTCTCTTTCCTCATTACTCACATTTCTGCAGGAAGATTTCTTTCAACCACTTATCAGCATGGAATGTAAAATTCTATCAAAAACAAAACTCATCATTCGTCTCCAGTCAGACTGAACAGATAGTCCTGTTCCCTGATCCGTTTGGGCTCAGCAGCACTACTGAGCATCCTGACACTTCAGTAGCTGCATAAGTCAATCAGCTGAAGACAGTTGGAGAAGTGGCATGTGTTGCGTGACATACTGTGCATTGTAAAAGGTCTTATCTGAAAAAAGCTGAGGCCGACCAGAACTAGAGGTTTCAGTCAGTGGTTCTGAATGAAGCAGTCGTCTGATTTTGTAGACAAAAATACTCTAATCATTAAAGCTATGAGGGTAGCTTAAAATACTTTCAGTTTCTCTTCACAAAAGTGCAAAAATGTAAAGCTCTGAATTAAAAGCAGGCTTAAAATATAATTGTCAAATTTTCAGCAATGGAGCCCTGATGTAGCAAAGCCAAACAAGCAGCCATGAAAACATGTTCAGGGTTCCTTTCTGTAGAGTAAAGCTGCCTTACAGCCTGTGGGCCACCAGCTTCCCCAACGACAGGACATGATATACATGGCAATAAATCACCTTGTCTTCTCATTCACCATTTACAGGTTTTGGGAAATGTGTGTAGCAGAGTATGAAACCTAAAGATATCCCAGGTCATAAAATACATACAGTGAATCATGAGTACAAGGCTTCAAGATCTTTCTTCTGATAATTATTCAATGCATGTTAACAAAAGGTTGAATGTCCAAAAGTGAAACCTTGTATACCATGCTGTGCATTTTAAAAATGCTTTATCTGCACACAGCCAACCATAACAGCTGATTCAGATCAGTGGTTGTGAATCAAACAAGCAATGCAATGAGGGTCAAATCTATAAAGCTGCTATGAAAATGCTTCTGTTTGCAGAAGTGATAACATTTTGTTCCAGTGTGAGAGAAAACTCCTGCTGAGCAACATATTTGTAGTCATTTTAGCATTTCTGATGAAATAAAATAAATTGCCATGGAAGATAAATGTAAACTTAAAGTCCAGACTTGCAGCACCAACATCGTCTGACTGGAGATTCTTCTAAAAGTTTAAAGTACTTGTGTTGGTATAACTGGGATCCTACATACTAAATGTATGATACTCTTAAATTGAGATATCAGGCTCCATTGATCTTGTTTTTAATATTTAGAAATCTATGAACAGTCATGAATTAATTAAATGTTATGTTTGATATTAAAATCAAAAGCACCTTGTTTAACTTAAAACCAGAAACTTGAGATTAATGGAAATTTAAGTGTTTGTTTCACTTCTTGATGGCATTAATATTCATAGCAAATCAAACTGAAATATGAAGAATGAGACAGTGAGTTTATTTAGCAGGTGTGCAGTTTAGCACAGAGTTAATCAATTAGACAATGTAACAAAGATTAGTTCATTGTTGAACAACTAAAGCTTCAGTGAAATCATGTGACCAGAGTTTCCTCCCCTTCGGACACAATATAAATCTCTGGAAGCTGATTTCTCTTTACTCTTCCTGCCTTGACAGCCTCACTGAACATCGTGAAGCGTAGTTCTGTGTCTGACTGCACAGGTAGGAAAACCTTCTAATTTTCACGGCTCGATTACAAACTGAGACATTTACTTGTTTTGTGCACATTTTTAAATAAATACTTAAACAGCTGTTTAACAATTAGTTGAACATGAATATAGATGGTTACATGAGTAGTTGCACTTTCTCCATTATGATTTTCCTAAATATTGTACATGAATTAGTTTTGAACAGATAGGGCTGGTAAGTAATTCACAGTGTGCCTGATGTGAGATTAACGACACTCAAACATTAAAACTATTTGAGAAATAACAGTAATAATAACTATTGTCTTTGGTTAGTTGCAAAACCTGTTTCAACCCCGACTGGAGTGAACATCACAACTTCATCATCATGCAAAGAATGTAAGTAGGAAAAACATCGGTTTATTTTTTACAAATAAAGTTTACATTTTCACTGATCACACCAAGGACAAGTTTTCAGTAGCATTCTGCAAATGTTACCTTATTGTTTATGTGTAATAAGAGGAAAATAAGTAAAAATATAAGAAGAATTCAGCTTCTGTAAATTTAGAAAATTTTGAGGTCAAAACATTCATCCTGTAGCTTTTTGTGCACAACTTTATCCAGCATTAGTTAATCAGGTTCATATGCACAGCCTGTGAAAGAAAACCTCTAATTTAAATCAGACACAAATAAGTAAATGTTAAAATTATGGAGTTTGCAACATTATGCTCAGTGCAGCAGCAGGTGTTAGTAGACAATGTAAATACCTGCAGAATATTTATGGTGATGCAATAAATACAGCCAGATTCTTCCCATTTCTGACCACCTTTGTGCCAACTTTGCATTTCAAATTATTCAATAACTTTCTATCATTTTCTCTGCATATTCTTTTCATGTATTAGGCAAACACACTTAAAGTCAAATAAATTAGGAATTCTGTAGATTAAACTATTTTTATGTTAAAAAATGCATAAAACAAATTCTTGGTTGACTTTCCCATATTTTAAATAACTGTCTAATAGCCTCTAATCCAATTGAATTATGGTAGCTTTTTACAATTAAACAAATAAATGCACTGACTGAAACTACCACTGAGAAAATGATCAGACCACATTAATTTGGAAAGTATTTCCATTTCAATAGCAAATATTTTCTGCTCATTTAACTGGACCTGGTGCAGCGTGTTCCCAAAGTGTTGTTTCTGGTCTCTGAGTTGCATTGAGCCCAACTCATGATACTGTAGCTTAACTTTAGCAGAGCGCTAACATCTAACATAATTGAGTCAACATAAAGTCATATTTGGGGTGTGTTGTTCAGTTCAGGAAACACTTTAGCGACTTCAGGCTTTCATGTTTCATCAGTTTTCCACTTTGATGAGAAAATCAGCGTACAGCTTGTTGTTCTTCATTTTCTAGCATAATTTAGCGCAGAAGACGTGTGTGTTTAGGTTCATCCTCAAAACCAGGTCCAGCCTGAAACAAACAATAAGGGCTGCAGAGAAGCTAACCTGCCCTCCGTCCAGGACAGGTCAAGAGTCAGGAAAAGGGCAGTTAATCTCTGCAGACCCCACACATCCTGGACACAAACTGTTTAGACTGTTACCTTCAACCTTTCTCTCTGAGTTAGCTTTGCCTGGTTCTGGTGACCTTCATTTGTAGTGGTCAAACAGGAATGCGAGTTGTGAGGGCAGGGAAAACATGCAGTAAAGGTCAACAGGTCGAGTCTTGAACCTGTGAGGCCTCGGCGAGAACCAAGGCCTCTGTGTTTGGGTCTCATGCTTTACATTCTTAAGGTTTTTTGGGCTTTATTTGAAGTTTCTCAGACAGGAAAGCAGGTAATGACTGAGAGGGAAGACATGAAGGAAAGGTTTGCAGGTTGTGCTTGACCCCTCCACCACCACAGCACCAACATATTTACATTTAAAGTGTTTTTTGAGAGTGAAATCAAACCAAAATGAAATTCAGTTTTTGTACTAAAATCTGGTGAGATTTTCATGGAATAAAAAAAACTTTAATGTGAGATTTGCTGCTGTTTAAGATGCTGCAAAATTAATTATATGCTCATTCATACTCATCAGCAAGTTGTCATATTTTATCAGTCACCCTCAAGTGGAGCCTCCTTTGGATAATTACCCTTTTTGTCAAGGGTTTCATCATCTAGTGCCACACAAGGGTGTAAAACTATCAACTTGTGATATTTCTGTTTGCTGCCATCTGCTGGTGGTTCTGAGATACTGAGGAAATGGAACAAATTCTTTAAACGTTGCAACAGCACTATCTTATGTTTGAACCAATCACCAAGATCTACCATACATTAAACTCAAAGCCGTCTTTTAACAGTGGAGCAATTTTCTGCATATTTCCTGTCAGGGCAGAGATTTGACTAGACCACTTCAGAACATTATTATGACTTCTAATCAGAAGAAACCCATTGGTCACATTAAAAGAGTTTAACCTAAATCTGCCAGGGGTACAAACAATTTTGGGGCAGCCAGTATATTTCTGCTTAAAATAAAACCCCAACATCTGCCCTTCTTACATCTATAAGGGGTAAATTATTGATTTTTTCTACAGGAATTTCTCCACCAAATACAAGGATGTCATCTCTAAAAGTCTTCTGATCCAACCAGGATCTCCTGCTATCTACCAGCTAAAGCTAAAAAAGGAGGAGCTTGGACCTCTGACAAAAGTAACCTTGGGTAAAAAGAACATCAGCAAGATAAACAAAATCATCTTACTTGTTGGAGAATCAGGGGCTGGAAAATCAACCCTGATCAACACGATGGTCAACTACACCATGGGAGTTAAGTGGGAGGATAAAATCTGGTTTCAGATTGTAGAGGAGGACGGGAGGAGTCAGTCTGACAGTCAGACATCAGACGTGATTGTGTACGAGATCTTTGGATTTGAAGGTAAAACTATGCCGTTCTCCCTGACCATCATCGATACTCCTGGATTTGGATTGAATATGACGCAATAGTCAGTCACAGATTGTTTGACTTGTTTCGATCAGAAGACGGAGTTCATGAGATTCATGCAGTGGGTTTGGTGATGAAGGCTACAGATAATCGTGTTAGTGACAGGTTATCATATGTCCTGAACTCAGTGATGTCTCTTTTTGGAAGAAACCTTGAGAACAACATTGTTGCTCTTCTCACTCACTCAGATGGACAGAGACCCAGAAACGCCATCGAAGCCCTTCAACAAACAAAAATTAAATGTGCCAAAAATGAAAAGAACCAGCCTGTTCACTTTCTGTTTGATAACTGCCAGAATGAAGACCGAACAGAAGAAGACGACGCAGAATTCCTGCAAATGGCAGACAAAATTTCAGACAAAGGAATGAGAGCACTCACAGGATTCCTGGAAAAAACTGCACCTACAAGACTGATGACCACTGCTGAAGTTTTGAATGAGCGCATCAGCCTGATATCCTCTCTCCAAAACCTCCAGGACAGAATCCAACTGACTGAACAGAAAGAGGTGGAAATTAATAAAACCCTAGAAGCTATCAGGAAACATTCAGAGGAAATGAAGAAGAATAAAAACTTCACTGTAGAAATTACAGAAGTCTACAAGGCGAAGGAACCTACTAAAGGTAAAAAGTTGATGAGGCTTAGTTATTTTGAAAAAGCTGTGTGCTGCACAGTCTGTGAGGAAAACTGTCACTATCCTGGATGTACACTTGTTCCGAGTCCGCAACACTGCGAGGTGATAAAGAGAGGCCGCTGCACTGTCTGCACTGGGAAGTGTCCTGCATCGGCTCATGTGAGAGAGGCCTGGAGATATGTCAACAAGACCAGAAGAGTTCAGTGGACTGTGAAAGCTATGGAAGAGAAGTATATGAAGAACAAGGCTGACTGTGAGAAGAAGTTAAGTCTTTTAGAACATATGCAAAAGGAATTGAAGGAACTTTCAACAGAGAAGTCCCAACTTGTTGAAGAAGCTTCAAACATGTGGTCAGACTGGAGCAGATCGCCCTGAAGGTTGATTCAGTTTCTACATTTTTGTACTTGGACTTTCTGATTGAGAAGATGAAAGAAAATGGAGATCGAGCGAAGGTGCAGAAGCTGGAGGAGATCAAGAGCAGACAGGATGAAGGAACTAAATTAGCTCTGCAGTATGTGTGTGGTAAAATGACAGACACAACGTAATGAACAGAAGAGAAACATACTGACACCTTGAACATCAATACACAACCCTGGCCAAAACAAATGTGAAGCCTGCTGTAGATGTCTTCTTTAGAAACTGATATAAATAGTTTCCTATAATTCAAACAACACTATGTAACCCTCCATATATTTTACTTCATTATTATTGTACAGTGCATGTGGGAAGCATTCACTACACTGTGTTTACCCAAAGCTGTGAATACTTATGTAAATGTGATTCATTGGTTTTCTAATATTAATGCATTTACAAAACTTTTTATAAAATGTCCAAAGTCTATTGATGGGGCATTTGTGTAGAGTTTGAAGAAGGAAACTAATAATATTTGGGAAAAGGCTGCAATAATAATCTGGAAACAGTTAAGGGCTTTCTATACTTTCCAGATGGACAGTAATGACTAAACCTAAAAAGTTTAAGTTTAGTTTTTACAACATGAGAAAACTGTTTTCTTAGCAAACTTTATTTCTGTAAATATGCTAATTTTAATCAATAGATTTTCTTGTAGTTTTCCCTAACAGATTACAGTGAATACATTTCTGATGTGTCATTTAAAGGGATGGAGAACCGTTGAATGCATTAAATCTCTGAGCTGTGAAGTTGGTTAAGATGTTTGTACAGCCTGGAGTCTGATCAGACAAGCCAAGTCAGAACTTGTTAAAATGCTTTACAAACATTTTCTTTACAGTTCAAGATATGTTAATATGATATAAAATTATTGTAATCAATTTTCTTGGTTGTACAATTGACTGGCTTGGTAAAGTGAATCTGTCTTTCTTTGGCTTTGAATAAAGGAATATTTGTTGGATAACAGGCATTGGTTTCTTAGTGTTGCATTTCATCGACATAGTTTATTTATATTATACAGAACAAAATGCTTTAATCGTGAGAAACCAGTTTGTACCTGGGTGGAAGGAGAAATCATTAAAGGATAAAGAAACATTTAACACTTTAGAGGAAAACAATAGGAATGCAGGTTTAAGTTTAACTGGCATGTTCCCTGTAGAGTATTAGAAAAGAAGATTGTCAAGACTAACACTTTAACTACTTTAGGGAAAAATAGCTACCTGGATGGGCCTTTAATTGGATGTTGTCTCCAAACAATGTCTCCCATTAAACTCTATCAAAAATACAATTACACTTTGTATTTTTGTTTATTTTTTGTTACTCTTCCTATATGTACCAAAGATCAAAGGTCCTTTGAGCAAGTTTGTGCTTTTTCTTTTGCAGGATCGAGAATCCTACTCTCACAAAACTGATTTCCACGAGTGACTTAATCTCCTCAGGACATCCAAAGATCTATCAACTGAAAACAGAAACGAAGAAGTTTGGAGCTCTGTCCAAAGTGACTTTTGGTACAAAAGACACTAAGCAGATTAATAAAACCATCTTACTTGTTGGTGAAACAGGGTCAGGAAAATCCTCTTTGGTCAATGCTGTTTTCAACCATGTAATGGGAGTTCAGTTTGAGGATGGGGTCTGGTTTCAGATCGTAGATAGGCAAGAAGGTGAAACACCAGATGTGATCATATATGAGATCTGTAGTTGTGAAGGTAAAATTCTGCCCTATTCGATCACCATCATTGATACTCCTGGATATGGAAGCAGCAAAGGAATCGAACAAGATGGCGTCGTCATTGACAGGATGCGGACCTTGTTTGAGACAGAAGACGGTGTTCAGATACTTCATGCAGTGGGTCTGGTGATGAAGGCGACCGATAACAGACTAAGTGACAGATTGATGTACATCTTTGATTCGGTGATGTCTCTGTTTGGAAATGACATGGAGAAAAACATTGTGGCTCTCATCACTCACTCCAATGGAAGAACACCTAAAAATGCTCTTCAAGCTCTTGAAGCTGCAAACCTCAGATGTGCAAAAGATAAAAACAATCAACCAGTTTATTTCTTGTTCAACAATCAGCAGAACGAAGATCACACAGACGAAGCAGAATACTTTACCACAGCTCAAAGAATATCAGACAAAGGAATGCGGGAGTTTACGGCCTTTGTTGAAAAAATGTCACCTCAAAAACTGAAAACAACAACAGAAGTGATGAATGAACGCATCAGACTGACAGCCTGCATCCAAAAACCTGCTGGACAGAATCGGGCTGACTGAACAGAAGCAGACAGAAATCAAACAGATTCAGGAAGGACTGAAGATGCATGAAGAAGAGATGAAGGAAAAAGAGGTCACTATACATGTTGATGAGCCCTATGTTACTAGAGAACCTATCAAAGGTGGACAGAAGTGGCTAATCTTCTACCAAGGAGCGGTGACCTGTCCTGTCTGTAAGGAAAACTGCCACAAAGACGGATGCACCAAGACCTGGCTTCCTGAGTTCTGTGAGGTGATGAGAGGAGGCCGCTGCACTGTTTGCTCCAGAAAGTGTCCTGCATCAGCTCATGTTAAAGCAAAGTGGATATACAAGATCGAAACAAGGAGAGTGGAGAAGAAAATACCAAAGATGAAAATGACTCTGAAAATAAAACAAAGTGTGAGGAGCAGACACACTCTCTGGAAAACCTTGAAAAGGAAAAGCAGCAACTTCTGGAACAAAAGTTCAAACTTGTGGATGAGGCCTACCAACATGTCATAAGACTGGAGCAGATTGCTCTCAAGGTGGATTCAGTGTCTATTAATGTCCACTTGGACCTCCTGATTGAGAAGACTAAAGAAAAGGGAGACCAAAGGAAAGTCCAGAAACTGGAGGAACTGAAGAGGAAAGTGGATGAAGGAACCAAAGCAGCACTGAGATACAAAAATGCTTCTCAAGTATAGTTTATGAAGAGAAATACACTGCTCAAAAAAATAAAAGGAACACTCAAATAACACATCCTAGATCTGAATGAATGAAATAAATATGAAAATAATTTCCACCTGTTGTCTATTCCATTTGCACAACAACAGGTGATATTGATTGTCAATCAGTGTTGCTTTCTAAGTGGACAGTTTGATTTCACAGAAGTTTGATTTACTTGGAGTTATATTGTGCTATTTGCAAGACGACAACTCTGCCACACAGCCACAGTTGCCCACAGTTGCTAAAGTTAATGTGGTAACCTGAGAGAAAAGATAATGCAAGCTAATATTATTGCAGCGCCTATGCCTTGAATGGCAGTGACTGATTTGCAAGGGAAGTCAGTCACTGCTGGATTTATGCATTGCTATGGGCAGGCCCCAATAAAAATTGAGATGAAAATACTAGTTTAGTTTTTCAAAAGTTTATTTTATGTGTTTGGTTTTATTTCAACATTGTTTTGAACTCTCACACAGGTGTGTATTTCTGCCCATTTTAGGACATTGTCTTGACTTCCATTCACTTAGTAGCTTCATCTCTCACACACACACACACACACACACACACACGTTATGCAATAAAATTAATGTTAAGAACAAAATTCACTCAAAATCTCAGAAAAATATGAATATTTTAATTATATTTCTCACATAACCTGTCAGTTTTTTGTTCATCAGTACTTGTATATTGCCTGTTATTCGGTCATGTTCATTATTTATTGTTGCTATCGTAAATTGGTATTTGTGTTAATGGTTTTCTTGACTCTAAGCCTGAACATGAGTTTCTGTGGACCAAAAATAGATGAATAAATGTCCAACAAACATCTTGACTAACTGGACCACTTCTTCTTGGTCCCTGTTAAAGAGGAGATAGCAGCATTGCCTTCAGCTATGATTTTGTTGTTTGCTATAATTAACAGTAAAAATCATTAACAAAATACTCACTGATGCATTGTCATTCTTGAAAATTTGTCATTTTTTGGCTCTTTCTGGATCAGATGCTGACCACCAAACATCTCAGGGTCAAGTTGTGCTTCACAAAAATGGTCCATTTCAACATCACTGCTGTGAATCTATGTTGTGTTTGGTGGAAATGAGTTGCTATTAAAGCTATTTTTAGATACTTTTGCTCACTGTGACGGAGGAGCCGTCACGATTGGAGAGTCCCTGTTAGCAAACATGCACAATTCTAAACTTACCTGTTTCTTTTCCTTTTAGTTTGGATTGAGGCCATTCATCGTCGGTGCACACACGGTGTTTTCGTTTGACGTTCATTCTAATCGGTTATTCCAGGTAGATGTTTTTCCGGTTTTCTTTTGGGTGAAGTTGTTTCCGGCTTGGAGGCGGAAACAACTTCACCCAGGAGCCGGGAGCCAATTATGTGATGTGGCATCATCACAATGTGCTGGTTGTTTTTGTTTTTTGTTTGGGTGTATTTTGATTGTAAATTTATTTATTTTTCCTTCCTTATTATTATTTTGTATATTTCAAGGATTTGAGTTAGAAATAATTGTTTAGTTTTGTTTAGTTTGATGGGACTTCCTCTGGGCGGAGCCTGCAGCTATAAAAGCAGGGCTCTGTTTCACAGAGGGCAGTCTGCACCTGGACTCTAGAGGTGTCACATTGGAGGTGATGAACTGGGATTTGAAGGTACTGCTGTGCTGTGTTGATTTTTAACTCATTTTGGACATTTTTATAAGTATCCTTCATCGACCACCTATTATTCACTGTTTTGATAGAAAATAAAATTTATTAAGATAATCTCTGGCCTTGGTCCGTCAATCTTTATGTGTGGTGGCCCAAGTCATAAAAGAACCCCGTCACACTCACCAAACATTTATTTGTGCATAACTTTGACACAGCTCCTCTCCTGACGGCCTCAGCTTGCTGTCCCTCCGATCCAGCTGTCCCAGACTTCCTAACTCTGGCAGTGTGACAGTCAGTCCGTTAAGCAGAGAGGGAGATATAAAATTGTTTGTTGGACCAAACAAAGCAATAATCCAACTGAAACAAT